TTTCTATATTATTTACGCGCGTAATCGTTCCATATTTGGGAATTTGCGTTTCCTGGTAGAAGGAAAATACCCAGTACGATACAGCAAAATTACGGCACGCTGTAGCTTATGGCATTACGGTGACAGGTGTATAATAATGCTGTTATATCACTATCATACCACGCTACCATATCACTGATACGCTTGTATTGGTTACAGTCACGCTTCACTCATACATTAACCATTTCGTAAATATCAAACGAGATGGCAGTGCTGAATCAGCTTAAGTAAGTCTCAAATTTGTTATTTCTGAATCACAAGATGTTTTCGCAAGAGATTCTCGCAAACAAAACACAATTGTTAATATAGTGATAGTGATAGTATGTGTGTGTTATGTAATGTACTTTTTGTCTTACCTGGGCACACGCATCGTTCGTCGTAAGCAGCCTTCCTAATTTGTTCCTCTGTCAACGCCACATCGTATACTTGCACGCAAGTTATTAAACCATCAAAGTATATACCACCATTTGGTAATGGAGCATTTGGTACTGCGCCGCTTTGTGCATCAAATTGAGTCGCTATTTCTCCTGCAGGCATAACCCCCAGTGCTGTGAATTCCCCATTCAAGTACATGGATCCAAAATTACTGTCAAAATCATATGTGACCGCACAATGATACCATTCATGCATAGCTGGTATATGTTTGTCTGATGGCGCTACTATTGTTCCGTCGCGTTTGTTGAACCTGACACGTCCATATAACTCCCCTGGTGCCTGATCACTAGCCCACTGCCACATTTGAACACCATTGCCGGAAGGGTTATAGTGGAATACGGGACCTGCATTACCATATGGACAAACCCATGCCATGATAGTGATTGATTTTACAGTATCGAAAGCACCATTGTTTGGATAATGTACCCACGAGTTGGCGACACCAAAGAATTTATACGCTCCGCAAGGTCTCCCTTTTGCCTCATAAGCCTTCACCAATTCTACATTACTAGAATTAGCATCATTGTTGTTGCCGGATACGTCTTCCAACTTATACAGCCAATTCAGTGGCCAAAATCCTACAGCACCAGGCACTGTTAACAAATAATAAAAAAACATTAGTACTCATCAATACAGCTTATTATTGTGTTACAGTCAGAGTGCTATGTTTTATGAGAATACAAGAAATTGCAAACAAATAAATTACACATTATAGAATTCGTCAATTCACCATTGCCACGATTGAGTTGCAATAATGCATTTTTCACATAAAGTTTTGCCATTTTCTATCACCAACAAATGTCCATTCGTTGCTCTCAGACATGTTGGTATTGAATGAAATATAATTAATCCATTATAATTTGTTTTTGTATTTATGATGCTATTGATAAAATCTAGGTGCGTTTTTATTATGATATATATTTTCTTGCTTATTAATTGACTGTAGGTCTGGATGTCATTGGAATGTCAATGAATGTATTCATTTGGTGTGACTCTTTTACACACATACATATATATATATACATAAACTCACCGTAAACAGAAGCATTATAATAAAATCGCTTTGAAATTGCTTCCTGAAAAAAATATTGAAATATATATTACAAGAAAATGAAAATATATTCAGTGCCATATTGATGGACGCCTGGTAAACACAAAACAGAATGATAGGTATTTCAGAGATTATTGCGATGCATGGGAATATAAAATCGAAACATTTTTTTTTAATGAAACAGACTGATGTTGAAAATATATGAATTGAATTCGTACATGTTGATTTAAAAGTCCAAATTGAAATATTTATATGAATCTTGACTCGAACTTACTAGTACTCCAACAGGTTTGCAATATGGCTGACTTTCTCAAATTGTCATCGTTGATATAATAACTATTGTGCCATAACAAAAAATAAATAAAAAATAGTAAAAACAAAAAAAACTTTTTTGATAATGAATTCAATAACCACAAATAAAGACGTGCTGGATATTTATTTATTTATTTATACATATTATATATAATAAAAAAATATTGACAATTCGCAATGATATATTAAACAGTCTGAATGTAAAATAAAACGAGTTATTGTTAACAAACACAATAGCTTATCATTAACACACCGGTATAATTATAGATGGGTATTTTTTATTCACAGTCCTCTAGCATTCTACAGTGTCTGCAAGTCTTTATCACACTTGGCCGCTTCAGACTATTTCAATTGTGTAATCATCTAATATGTAAGTCCACTTCATAGGACACTTCAACCGCAACCAATGCTGAACACAGAGAGATACCTCTCACATTATGTTGTTATTTACTCAGCCTCCATTGATATGCAGAGTTTGTCGTACAGCCATTCCAAGATGTCATGACTTGTCTTGAACAGCATTCGCTATATATTCTTGTGGCCCGGCATTACAATTATGGTCATAGGCCTCACACCTCGGATAAACATCACACCAACAATCTTCAAGTTTGAATGGGCTTTCAGACACTTCTGTGGAGAAGGAAATTAGTCTTTCACCAGAGATGTCAAATCAGGTCCCACCATCTATGTTTAGCATCCATACTTCCCAGTCAGGCAGTTCACAGAAGAATGATTGCAGACCATTATCTTCCAATTGCTTGCAGGAACTATCTGATCATCTGAATAATGAAGTGAGAACCAGAGGTGACTGAATCTTCAGTCTATTCCCCTATGTAGTAATAATCAATTGATCTTTTACTGGTTCCAATTTTGCATTTCCTCTTTTTGTACTTCCACAAAGTTAATATCATTATCAAAACGAACAAGTTTCACAGCACCTCTTCTTGTCATAAACCTTCACAGCACATTGATGAACGCCAAACATGTGAAGACAACTCTATACCTTTTCATAATACTATGGTTCTGTTTCACTTTAATATGATCGAAATACTTAGATGAATGGTGCTTCATCTGTCTTTAGTCTGTCTGATGGTAATTCTGCCATGTTTTTCTCTGATCCAGACAATACTGTTTACAGGCTGCAACTT